TGCATGATGGGATACACTAAGCCTCGAATAGTGCTCCGGAGCGGTGTTCGAGATAGTGTGGATTTAATGCGCTTTTACGGCATTTTTAAGACTTGGGACAGTCGCGCGCACGCGCTCTCAAGTGGCCAAGACCGCAAGTGGGGGTATTTGGACAAGGGGACTATTTCGAAGCGCTCGAAACACCACACGCTGGTGACGCCTGCTGGTCAAAACTGTGTAAATGCAACAAAACCGCTTTTACTAACCCAATGAAAACGCTTTCTTGAAAGTATAACATATTAAATGCAATCAAAATAATAAAATACCGTTACAAATGAAGTGTCTGTAGGCTATAATATGCATCTTTGAAATAATTATTATTGATTTCTAAAGGCTTGTTTTGTTTGTTTTATGGAGAGCTTGTCTAAACAGGCCAGTAAGAGATTATTAACTACTACTCATCCTTTTAATTACACAAATGTCTCATTAAAAATGTTGACAAATTGATCGAACTGATCCGAGATCGTATAACCATAGACGCCGATGCAGTGGTTCGCCGCTGCAGGGCGATCTCGGTGAACTCGCATGATTCACAGAGATCGCCCCCCTAAGGCGAACTATTGAAATTTCTGTGACGTAACGAAGCCTCATTTACTGAAATCACATGACTGGCATTTTGATACGCGCTCCGAACCACTGTTTCGAAGCAATTGATTCGCAAAGGTTTCGAAGCTTCATGAAGCAGTGTTTCAAAAGCGCCCATCACTATGTAATTAGTGATCGACCGATATTGATTTTTTTTTATTACCGATACCAATTATTTGCATGTTTATGTGCCCGATAACTGATATGCAGAACTGATATTTATTTACTGTTATAAAGTAAATAAATGACCGAGTGAAGTAAGAACATACTTCACTTTGGTTTTTCCTCTTTTCAGTCATCTTTTTTTTTTTTTTTAAGTGTTGAAAATTAGCAGTCTTTCATGTTAAAATTAATCTTCATACTACAACAATAAAAAAAACATTTTATTTATAAAAAGCATCAACAGCAACAACACTAATATTAACAATAAGAAAAATACATGTCTAATGTTTTCAAATGGAGAAAATAAAGGAATATCAACTTCATTATAACTACAGTTTTAGTAGGTTTATAAGCTGTTTAATA